CTTTCTCCTTCCTGGAGCCCCTTCCCACTTCCTGGAGCCCCTTCCTGCTTCCTGGAGCCCCTTCCTGCTTCCTAGAACCCCTTCCTCCTTCCTGGAGCCTCTTCCTGCTCCCTGGAGTCCTTTCCTGCTTCCTGGAGCCCCTTCCTGCTCCTGGGATCCTCTTCCTCCTCTCCCTGTTCCCGGCAGTTCCTCCTCCTTGGAAGCTTTTTCCTGCTTCTTCCTTGTCGTCCCCTTGGGGTCTTTCCCCCTCCATCCAGTTGGGAAATTGGGATAATGAAGGAAAGGAACAAATCGGTGTCCGTTGGTATCCAAACCGGATATTTGGGTTGGGATATTTGGGATGGATCTTTTCCTGCCCTTTCCCCTCACCTCCCCTTCCTTGACTCCGGCTCTCGTTTGCTCCCGTTTTTCCAGAGCCTCTCGGAGAAGTCCTGCAAGGTGTTCCGCATTTTCCGCCAGTGGGAGAGCATGAACTCCTCCTGAACTCCTCCTGGATTCCTCCTGAACTCCTCCTGGATTCCTCCTGGATTCCTCCTGGACTCCTCCTGGATTCCTCCTGGATTCCTGAGCCTCTGGAACCCCCAGGGGCTCCGTGGCGGAGAGAGAGACCCTCTTCCCAGCTCCGTGCCTCGGGAAGGGGATCCCGAGGGAGCTATCCCGGGATTCCCCCGTCCCCACCTGCCTTCCCCAGTTGCTGCTGTTATCCCACGGCTCCGGAGGCTCCGGGAGCCCCCCCGGGACCGGGATGTGCCGTTGGGATGAGGAGGAGCCGCCGTTCCCTGCGGGGCGTCCGCGGGGTCCGGCCCTTCCCGCTGGAAGTGACTCCAGGTGGGAATAAACATTTCACTTTTTGGCATTGGATTTTCCCTCCCTCCTCCCGTGGTGGTCTTTTTTCCCTGGGGGGGTTGTGGGATGAGCTCCAGGGCATGGAATGTGAGCCCTGTATTCCCTGGGTTTTGTGGGATCGCTGTCCCTCTGTCCCTCCCTGTTTCCTGCTCCTCATTCCATTGTTTTCCCTGCCTTTTCCCGGCCCCTGGGCCTGGAATCAGCTGCCCCAAGCACATTGGGCCGGGGGGCCCCTTTGGGATGATAAATCCCTGGGATTGGAGGGTGGGATGCAGCCAAAACCTCGGGAAGAGGAGGGTTAGGCCTTCCCATGGCTTGGGGATCTCATGGAAAAGGGAAAAGAAACCAAGAAAGGAGACCCTGATCCATCATCTCCATCCTCGGGGATGTCGGGAAAGGGCCTTTGGGAAGGGCTGAGATTCCATGGAAAACTCGGGCACAGCTGGATCTCCTCACCCCAGCTCTGTCCCATCCACAGGGACACATCATTCCCTGTTTTTTGGAGCAGGAGCCCCTTCCTGGGATTGCCCCTTCCTGGGATTCCTCAGCCCCAGCTCTGGGATTTCATCCGGGTCTCATCCCGCCTCATTCCATGGGAGGAACTTTTCTGGGAGTTCCTGGGAATGCTGCAGGTGCCTTGGTCATCATCCCTGCTCTCCCTGAGCCCCAAAACTTGGGAATGCAGCTGCCCACCTGGGATACAGCCAGGCTGGGATACAGCCATCCTGGGATACAGCCAGGCAGGAATCCCCTGGGAAGCAGCAGAGCTGGAGTTTGGGTGGGAATCTTTCCTTTCCCAAGGGGATCCTAAATCCCAAGGGGCTTCCTCACCCTGCTGGGCTGGGATTTGGGATGAAGAGGGGGGATATTCCCAATCCAGAGGGGTGAGGATGGGCTGGGAAGTGCCTGGGCTGGCCATGGAGGAGCCCCTTTTCCAGCTTCCTGGACCTACAGATCCCTGTGTTCCCAACAGATCCCTGTGTTCCCAACAGATCCCTGTGTTCCCAACAGATCCCTGTGTTCCAAACAGATCCCTGTGTTCCCAACAGCCCTTCCTGCTTTTCCCTGGTCATCCCCCCTGAGCTTCCACAGCTCCTGGAGCTTCCCAGAACTCTGGATCCACGTGGATCCCCCATTTCCAGCGGTTCCCTGCAATTCCCAGTGGCTCCCCTTATTCCCCACGTTCCCCATCCGTGGATTCCGACACCCCCTCGTTCCCCCCCTCTCCC